TGACTGAAGTGCCCTATTAGGTGTGCCCATTCCGCTTGTATAGCTGTTCTAAGAGGGTTTTGCCAATGTTCTTACAGTATACAATCCTGTTTAAGGAATACTGTATAATCATTCTTGCAACTCTAATAGGAGTGATAATTGTTAGTTGGGGTGCTCTACTAACACGCTCATTTGGGCGACACTTCTTGTGTCATCTTTCACCGTGTACTACTTGTGTGCAAAATTATAATGCGCTAGAATGAAGTACAACGCTTTAATCTTTTCACTATAAAGTACGACCACAGACACATAGTTTCACTGGTTCGTCGGATTGAGCCTGATGTATCAGATAGGCAGCTAGAGGATAAGCCCCAGAAGTTATATCATAATTAACTCGTATTTATCCGGTTGTGCGAGAAAGCGGAAACATGCATTTTCTAGGGCACTCCCCGTTTCCATCCATCCTGCCTTTAATTGTTAGACCCTGTCTTATACGCCCGGCAAACGTTAGGAACCCTATAAATCGCATTAGAAGGTGCGGAGACCCTTCCAACGTAATACCACCAAGAAAAAAACAGTAATTTTCCGCGTTAGCAACCTCGTTAATTTATTCGTTTCCGCAGTACGTGGTGCGTAAACAAATCCGAAAATTAATTTGAAGAAGAAAAAATTTTAAACGCCATACATATTAATGGAGATTATTATGACTAGTAGAACGTTTATTCGAACGCATTCATTTCAGTCTTTCAATTACAACTACTATTGTGTATAAATAATGAACGCGTCATTAAGCGTAAGATAGGCAAGCTAATTGGTTATGCTGTACAAATGAATTATCCAGAACGGTTTTTTCTTGCATTATTTTAAATACTTTAGGGATTTAAGTACGTCTGTGGTTTTATTTCGATCCTGATTATGGCACGAGAATTCACGATTCAGGATGCAGGTCCCAAACGGATATGCTGAGCTTTATCAAAGATCGATGAACTTCACGCCGAGTAAATGTAACTCCTGAAACATATTCCGTGGTATTCATGTCCGTAGGACTCCATTGCCTAGCCGAATCAACCCACATACAGGGTGTTTCATAAGTCGTGACCAAAAATGAAACATCATGCACAGGTCCGCATTTTAAGGGGGGTCTTCTATGCCACATTTTTTCCTCGAGGGTTTCATTAAAAAGATACGGGGTATTTTAGTTTACAAATAAAAAACATTTTTTTTAATATCTTCAAGACCATCAAGTGGAATGCACTAAACTTTGGTTATATGGATTTACCTAAGTATTGTCCGCATTCAAAATTGTCGTGCACTAGAGGCGGAGATACAGGCGATTAGTGGCATAATTTTTCCAAATTAGAAAAGTACGCCTCTTTTTTTTGCGAAGCGGGTAATTTTTCAAATATTACTTTCAATTTGATACAAATAATTACTCTTGTGTTTTCCTAGAGTGCCTTGTTTCCGTAAAAATAAATAAAAACGAATCAGTTAATCAATGCTTTATTTCAATAAATGTTCTAAAAGATCACCATTCTGATGGATACAAGTGCGGCATATTCTTAATAAAGAAAATCGTATTTTTGCAAAATTTTATGTGGCTTGAATTTGATGAGACGCGTTAACTATTATTTCTTGTAACTGAACAACAGTATTGATTTGTTCAGCATACAGTAGTTGCTTAAAAGCTTCAAGGGAATGGCTTCCACCAATTTGCAAAACTGCAACAAGATGCAACCAGCTGGACGAGAAGGGATGATGATTCTCTTCTGTTTCTATTGACGCTGAGGGTCAAAATCCCATGAGAAAAATGGAAGACGTAGCACCCAAAACCAAAATGACCAAACTTAAGTTACACAAAAAGAAATCCAGGGGGTTCATTTCAGGAGACCTCGCAGTCCAATGTACGGGTCCGTTTCTGCCAATCCATCCTTATCTGAAACGATTATTTAACCATGCCGTTATATCGTCATGCTGAAACAACATTCGTATCCTCGTTAACGGAACATCATCTATCACATTTTTTCTGTAATTCTCTAGAAAATCTAAGTACGAGTTTGCATTTGAGCGATGTGGCAATACGTACATAAACAGTTGGCCATTGAAAATGCCGCACCAGATGTTTCTAGAAACTCTGTTGACACGAGTGGATTCTTACAGAACGGGGATTTTCTAACGACCAAATATGTTTGTTCATTATGAGAATCAAAGGTTCCACTCCTCGTAAAAAAGCGATTCAACTGACCACAAAACCAAATCAATAAAATCTGCATTTTGATTATGCATTTACAGTAACCACTCACAAAAATTTCGCCGTTGCTCTGCGTCGCCGGGTTGCAGACATTGCACATTTTGCCGATGGTGAGAATGTAAAACCGATTTAAAATTCTCCACGAAAGAACCCGGTAACTTAGCTGCAATCCGCCTAGTATTTGTACCAGGATCATCCAACGCTAAATTAATCACTTCCAGTTCCTCTGGAACAGTATGCCGAACACCATCGCCTCTAACTCCGGAAAGTTTGGCAAGTCCATATAACCGGAGTCTTAGAAATGAACACGTGAAAACCTTTGGGGTAGGTTGCCGTCTGTTAGGAAGTCCACGTTGATACTCCAGATAAGCCGCCGAAGTGCACTCTAGGAAAAAAACACAGGAGTAATTATTTGTAGCAAATTGATGGTGAAATTCGAAAAAAAAACAGTGCCGTACTATTTTTATTTGGAAAAATAATGACACTAATCCCCTGTATCTTCACCACTGGTGGTGCAGGTTAACTTCAAGTAACGACTTTGGAATGTATTAGGTAAATCCATGTACCAAATTATAGTTCATTCCAGTTGGTTGTTTTCAAGACATTAAAAAATTATTTTCTATTTTTCAACTTCTTTTCAAGGACTTTTGAATCTGGACAATATGTGGATAAATCCATATATGTACCAAATTTTAGTTGATTCCAGTTGACGGTTATGAAGATTAAATTTTTATTTTTAAACTTCAACACCCGGTAACTTTTTAAGGATGCCCTCGACGAACAAATGTTACATTGAATACTCCCTTAAACTGCGGTCTTGTGTTTGACGTTTAATTTTTGGTCACGACTTGTGAATTACCCTATGTATGTTCTAACTTTTGTTTATTGTACGGCGTCTTGGCCACCATGGTAGCCTTTGCATGTACAATGACAGGTAATAACAGTATATTTTGTTTATCTGCATCCGCAAGGTTTCTCTAAGGGGTCATATAGCGGAGGATTACGTGAGCAAGCAGTATGTCATAGCTCATCGAGTGCTTTTGTAATATCAAGTCCGACGTGTTCCCTGTTGTAAGATTGAATGAGTTGTGTGATGTGAGCTAGAGGGTTCCCAATTGATAGCTGTAACCGGACACCTATTCTGCCCAGCACCAGTCAATCCGTGAGGCTCCAGATATACTAATTAATTATGCTGTGCAAATGAGTTACCCAGAACGATTTTTCCTTGTACTGTTTTAAATATTTTAGGGATTTGAATACGTTTCTGCTTATACTTCAATCCGAATTGTGGCAATTCATGGTTTAGGATGCAGGTGCCAAACGGATACGGTGTGTTTTATCAAATATCGATGAACTTTAGTAGATTAAAGATGTAACCCTTGGAACTTGTCCCGTGATTTTCATGGTCACACGACTCCATTGGCTAGCCGAATCAAACCACGTATATGCTTTAATTTACGTTTATTGTTCGACGTTTTCGCCACCATGCTTGCCTTTCAAGAACAATGACAATTATTACCATCAGTTACCTCCTTACAGGTTAAATTTTACAGTACAAATGAAGACGCTATTAGATAAAGGTGTTATGTAATTTTTTTGGCATTAAAATAAACCCAGGGTGTGACTCTTTCGTTCTGTGATTACTTTGTTGCAAAAACAAGATAATAACAAGCTAATTAAACTAAATACTTAAAATGTCAGTAAAGTAAGAAGTCCCTGTAAAATATGTTTAAAGCCACTTTTCTCCAAACAATGATTTTGTCACACAACACCTTTAAGAACTTGTGTCTTCAAATACTCTCAAATATTCAGCTTATAAAACAAAATAATTAGGTGTTTATTTGGAATTTCCGTGTTGATGGTGTAGTTACAAACCTGAGACAATTATTACTTACATTCAAGCACCTCGTTAAATGTTTAGACTTTAGACCATGAAACAATGCAGATGCTATAATATAGCATGCTCTTATTGAATGTTGCCTCAATTATTCGATACTATCTTGGGGTGGTGCGCTTACCAACCAAATTGAGAAGCTAGAAATAATCCAAAAGCAATTTTTGAAAATTATTTTTATACTGCCAAGTCTACATATATTCATCTGATTCATATTCCGAGGAGGAACTACTCGATACTACTCGATCTTAGGCAACTATTCTTTACAATGTTGTAATCAACTTATTCAAAAATAAAACAAACCTTATTTCATTGGAGCAGAAGTATGAAACAAGATGTAAAGTGGAGGATATTAACAGAACACAATTCACATCAAAGAATATAAGTAAAAGATGCTCCAGTTACGTCTCCAGTTGATTTTATAACCTTTTGTCAAGCCATATTGAATCAATTTCAAAAGAAATTTCGAATAAAGAAATTCTTGTTATCCAAAGATCGACATGAAATAGTAAAGCTCATTCAAATGAGAGTTATTTGAGTTTTGAATGACGTTGTTACACTTACCATTATGTTTTTATGTTGTGATTAAATTTATGTATTTACTAAGTTTAACATACTTTATGAATACTTTTTTTACTTTATTCGCGTACATATTCTAATTTTGAACAGATTGTAAAGTTTATATGTAAATAAGCTTGTATTGTTATAATTATTATTATAACTGTTATTATCATTATTATATACTGTTATTATCGTTATTATCATTCTTATTATGAATGAAATTATATTTTGCTTATCTGCCTTCCAGGTGCATTTGTGTTTGTCTTCTCTTGATTCCTATAGAGTGTGTTCTAACGATAGAGTGAACGGTGCTGTAGCATGTCAAAATCGCGTGAAGCCATCATTGGATATCTTTTAAGTTTTGCACATGGAAATAAAACAACACGGTGGGTAGCTTTAAATGACTTTATTGTTGTTCGAAGTGTTCTCCACGAAGATTAATACACATCTGCATGCGCTCGAACCAATTTTCGAAGCACTCATTCCACTCGTATGTTGGCAGATCCAAAACGGCATTTTTCAATGCGTCAACTGCTTCTTCTGGTGACTGGAACCTTTGACCACGCAGTCTGTTTTTAATTTCAGGGAAAGTAAAGAAATCATTAGGACTTAGATCGGGACTATATAGAGGATGGTCCAATAATTGCATGTTTTCTTCCGTTAAATACTGCCTTGTTTTTTGGGCTGTGTGCGAGCTTGCATTGTCTTGGTGGAGGATGATTCTTCCTAAGGGGTTGATTTTTCGAAGCTCGGTGATGACTTTTGGCAAACATATGGTGGTACACCAATCCGCAGGAACTTTTGTTGGATTTTCTTCACCTTGGAACACCCAAACAGCCGACTGTCGTTTATTTTCTGGTTCATACCAGTAAATCCCCGATTCATCACTACTAACAATGCTGTACACATTTTTTGAGTTTACGGAATTGAAAAGGTCAAGAGTTCTTTGACACCAATTAACCCTGGCTCCTTTCTGCTCTTCAGTCAACAGGTGGGGTATCCCACGAGAAACTAATTTTCATACTCCTAATTCTTCATGCAAAATTTTTTGAATTGAGATCTTCAAGGGCGCCTCAATCTCGCGATATGTCACATGTCTATCTTCAATGATGAGTTTGCGCAGTGCGCCTCAATCGAATAATATAAAGAGGACTATATCCCCTCTGCTCAAGTTCTTCCTTAATCTCAGTATCCGAAAAGTTAATGGGAACTGCTCGAACCAACGCGTGTATGATTCGTTCCGATGGGAGAAGTAAACTGTCATCGGGCACTTCTTCCTCTCTGATCAGTCGTCCTCGTATTTAGGAATAATCCTTATTCCCGCATCGACAAAAATGGCGCAATCTATTTTAATACCTAGAGGAATAAATTTGTAGTTCAGCGTACGCCACTTCGCCCGGTCACCCAAAACAATAGGCGTTACGCGCCCTTGTGAAGGTTGGCTTGATGTCATGTCGGCTGAGCGGGATGGCTGAGGAGAAGTGACATCGGCCGACAGAGTGACCTCAGAGGTAGATAATGTAGTATCTCCGCCAACCGATGTTAAAGCTTTGGTAGTAGACACAGTGTTATAAGATATTTTGTTTTGATGCCGCCGGGTGGTACCTCCGCGTTCGACAGTCAGAGACCATGTACCACCTACGGACAATCACAACATCCATAGCCAAGAGAAAAATTTCTCCTGGGACGGGATTCGAACCCGCACAGTGCACGGCGACTGATCAGGAGACCGAAGGGTCTACTAGTACGGCCACCGCTGCTGCCTTCGATCCTCAAAAAGTCCTATGAATTGATAGGGATGATATTGAAGCAATTATGACTCCAAAGCTGCTCGTTCTACCTAAGTCAAACACGAATGCGTTTCATTCAGCTATTGGATTAGGCCCCCCAAAAACATAATTATTGAGTTAAAATATCATAGAGCCTACGAAATTTCTTTATTGGAACCTGTGGTATCAGATTTTTGTGTTTTATATCTATAACTGACTAACTGGATACAGAACTAGTTTCCAAAAAATAGACATACCTTCGTTTATACCACAATGCACTCTAAAAACTGTGGGTGATATGGCGTAAGTTGGTAGTAATCAGTTTGGTAGTGAATAACCTAAATATTTTCATAATCATTATGTTTTTGGGTTGCTTTCTCGTGTTCCGTTTGCAGGATTTTGACGCGTTCACATGACCTGACAAGATGCAACCAATTGCTGCCAAATTCAATCTTTTTCATTCCGCCGCTTGAGCCACTATCGGTTACGTGATGTTATAGTATCACCGACAAAATGCTGGTTGCTTCGAAAATTATGAGACTATGTAATAAAACAAAATTTTGCCCTGTAGTGGATCATTACATGGCCTATTTGCAGCTTCAGGATTACCCTTTACATTTTTGACATTCTGCATATTATAAATGAATCTTTGTTTCGGAAAAGACATTGAAAGCTTAAGCCAAAACCAAAAACCCTCGTCGGGTTTCAGATTTTAACACAATCTTCAGTTAAGCCGAATGCCAATACAAAAGTATTAGTTGCCCTTCGTGTTGTTCCTTGTAAGAGTTTACCTCAGTTTTGATGGGCTATTGAATCGAAACTTCAAAATTGAATGAAACTTGTGATAAATTGGTGAGTATGAGAAAAATAATGTAAAACTCCTAAAAATATACATTGTGATCTCGGAAATGGAAAGAGATATGAAGTCATCTTGAATTACAAGGACGTTTAGTATGATCACATACCAGAAGGTGAGACCTAGAATATATTATAATTCAAAGTATTTTCGAGAATAAACCGATAATTTTTAAAAGCAAATCAGCAAAACATGCACACAGCCGACTCCGTGAACACATAAGTACACCTCACAATAAAGTATGTATTTAAAACTAACTGATGATTTGAATCATTTTGAATTATTATGATATATTATGAAGGTTTTGAAGGAAACTAATAAACTATGAAGTTTCCAATGCCAAAAGATGTAGCAACATCACACGATACACTGTCACTTCTAACTGCGCATATTTGTTCTGTAAGATTAAATATCTAACAAAACATGTGCACTGCTACTAACTGGCAACTCAAAGATACTTCGAGTACTTAAGCGGTTTGAATAGACTAAGGTCCTATATTTGCATATTATGTCGACGTTCCTCATAGCCATTTGAAAGGTATTTCAAACGTTATGAAATTCGTTGAGCAAGATTATGTGCATTTTTTACTCCCACAGTAAGCGCTTTATTCAGAAAATTTATTTGCCTAAACCGCCAGCTTTGTCCCAGACTTTCACCTATTTCTAGCCAAAGCCCGAATATTGATCAGGGTAGATTTTTTGACAAAATATGGCCGTATACAGATGAATGAACCAAAATATCTTCTAGGCTGTCTATGTACCGGAATCATACATCACTAGACTGTTCCTTATCTATTCACTATTTATACAGCATAAGAAATTTAACTAAATAGAAGTATGGTTCATTTATTCTCTACAGCCTTGCCAGCTGTTCTAACTTCAATTAAAAGCAGCAACCTAATTTATCATCTTCCATAATTCAACATCACTCTGGAGATGCTCAGATTTGTACCTGTCGGCAACCCACGCCGTAACTTCTCATCCGGCTGCAATAAAAAGCGGCTTGGGTACTGCGTGCGACAAGATGAGCCATTACCTCCATTACAATTAATAAATGACTGAAACAATCCCATTTTTTCTTTCCTCTCTGCTGCCAAAAAACGACGGCAACCCTGGGCAGATATTATAAAGTAACTTGTTAATCAGGTAAAAATGTCATTAAGCAAACGGTACACGACCAGAACACTAAAAAGGTACATTCACATATAAACGACCAACACCGAAATCGTGACAGTGACCATATATTCTTCTGCGTTGTGTATTTTTTACTTACAAAATTCAATAACGCCTGTTGTACTGCACTGAAGTGATCATCGCAAGCATGGGCGGGCATATTATTGGTTGATTGGTTCATGCTCAACAACATTGCAGGATCAGAGGGTAGTTAGTGGACACACATGACTACCTAATTCGGGAAATGTTGTTTCACGTTATTTATTTATTGGGTAACTCCCAACACCAATTACTAGGTAAGTACATGGAGTTAAAAAAATAATGCATATACGTGCAGGCTATGTTACAAAAAGCAGGAACCTCAGACTAGAGATCACAAAAGAAAGGGATTGGCTTGCTACCCTTAACGTCACTGCATCCCAAATGGATTTATTGTGACCCCCATAACTTTCTAAAGCACTGTGTCCAGCCTTGCATGTAGTTTTCCGCTGTTGGGCCTATGGTTCTTACTATCTGAAACCGAAGCTTTGCCAGGCCTTCACAGTAATACAAGGGATGCACAGGAGTTTGTTCATGCTCTTTGCAGAAACAGTTTACTACCAGGAAAGCCACTATTGCAAGGGCTCCCTACTAAATACGAATAGGTCCTCTGTAAAGGCCTGCGTGGTCTCGTTACCCCTCAGAAGGGCTCTGGACCCACAAGGCGATTGGCCGCAGGCTGATAAGCTAGCTCATCCGCACTTCCATTTTATTTGTACCCTTCATGTCCTGGTATCCAGAGCAATTTTACCATGTTTCTGTTTCCCAGCTCTTTGAGGGTTTGCACAGAATCCCGTGCTAGTTCAGATGGTGTTTGGGATGAACCTAATGCTCTTAGGTGAGCCAGTGAAAGAGCATCACTCTGAATACATATATATAATGATGATAGGTCGAGAATGACCTCCAGCGCTGCAGTGGGCGCGGTATGTATGGTCCCCCGTTGTGCTAAATCTAGAGTCTGTACGTCACTTAATAGCCTTACCGCTCCCGTCTGTGTAAACTGTGTCCACCATGTCACTGATCCCTGTGTATAAGCATATCAAATCAATTTTGAGTTTAGCCCCTAATTTCTCACGCACGTCTGTCTACACCTTCTTAGGGCTATTGTAGCTTTCTGTGCTGTTCTAGTGATGTGGTCAAAAATGACACTTTTACCTCACTAGCAGAAGGGTTAGTGGCGTGAGGCCTTCCAGTAGCCGCCCTTGTGTGGAAGTGGCGACAATTCTCTTGTGCGGATTTAAAGTTAAGCATTCCGTCTTGCACCACCAGTCAACAATACTCATGGCCCTTTGCGAACATTCGGAAATGATCATCGCAGAATCTGTACTGCAATCGGTAACCTTATAAAAGAACAAAACTGAATGTTTTGCAGCTGTTCTCTAGGCTACAGGTATTACGCCTCATCATCAACTCATTGTGGAAGGCCTATCACAGGGTATATTTTCTTTAAATAGACTCTAGCCGAATGGGAGGATATCAAGTCAGCGATGCATATTCAAGTATCTCTAATGCAAAATACGAGTAGTTATTCAGTATCGCTGACTATGAAGCCATAAGATTTTAATGCAGTGCAACAACGTTTTCAAGTTGAAAGGAAGGACATATAGAGACAGTCATATATTAAATGCAGCCAGAACAACATTTTCAATCCAAAAGGAAAGATAGGGGGAGCGTTATACAGTGCTTTTCTTTAATGTTCCCCTCCTCTTTGATTCTTTGAACGGATCAATTCAAAAAATTAAAACTTGAGGCAATGAAACTGATGCGTGTATACTATATTTTAGAGTAAAATTGACAGACAAAAATGCCAAGATGGCCGCTGAACGCCATCTTGGAAAAACATGTAGAAAACGGGGGTCTTGCGGCACATCACTTTGAAGCTCCTGACGAGTACTTTATAACCCTAGAGTATAAAGTCAATACTTTTACCTACTACAAAATGGTGGTGCATTAAATAGTTACCTGAATACATTGACATTTAACTTGATAATTCGAAGAAATACGTTGAGTTTAGTTTAGAAGACGCTGGAAATGGTTGCCCTGAACTTCTTGACACAATAACAGCCAATCCGTAATTTCGCGTCGAACATTTTCAAACATAGTAAGCTCGATTTTTCTGCAAATATTTGTTATTCTCAGCCGTATATCCTATATTGAAGCAGGTTCAGTTTCGTACACCTTTTGCTTCAAATAGCCCCATAAAAAAATTGTAAAGGTATCAAATCTAACGAGCGAGCTGGCCATTCCACAGGACCTCGACGGCCAATCTAACGACCGGGGAAATCGTTATCTAAATAATTCCTAACTTGTCTGGAGTAGTGAGGTGGAGCACCATCTTGCTGGAATACAATATCAGTATCGAATTCATTAGGATTCGCTTTGACGATCTCGGTAATTAGAGGGTCAGTAGTATTTTCCAGCATATCCAAATATAGTTCCCCGGTTAAAATTTGTTCGATGTACAGAGGCCCCACAATATGATTTCCCAATATCCCAGCCCAAACGTTAAATTTTTGTGGATATTGAGTATGAGTCTCCCGGAAGACGTGAGGATTAGTGTCACTCCAATAAAGAAAATTTTTTCTAAGCACATTACCGTTGAGAAAAAATATACATTCATCACTAAAACAAATATTTTGGATATAGGTAGGATCCCGTGCAATTGTTTCCGTCATAGTCTCGCAGAATTCTGTTCTTCAATCAGGGCCATCTTCAGTTAGCTGACGTACCATTTGAATTTTGTATTAGTGATACTTATTCTTTTTAAAAAGTCTCCATACAGTAGAAGGACAAATTCGCGATGGACAAAGTAGACTCTTGGGGATTTTACCAATTATTTGAACTTGCTTTTCTTCTGGGCTGGTCGGATGACCTGGGGGCTGTTTACACTACCAGTACCTGTAAATTTAGATACAAGTTCCCTTAAATATTTTCTACAGATAAGACGATTCGGGAAACGATCATTAAAAATCCTTGCGGTTACGCGTCGCACATAAATAAAAGTCGCTTCGATTTTTTCTTCCAGTGGACCAGAATTGACCACTTTAAAAGTAGTTTAAACAGTATCTAGCACTAAAACCGAAAACTAAATAAGAGTATTTTAACTGTACAATGGTGTTTGTTTTCGTACTGATATTCTTGTCACTGTCAACAAAAAATAAAAAAAAGTTCTTATCGCTGTTGCTGTGGATACGGCAGCGAATTACAATTATTTGTAGAGATATGCATGTTAGTGGGTTTGTGTTCAAGTAATCATTGAATGTATCACCATTTTGTAGTTGGTAAAGGTATTGACTTTATATTCTAGGGTTATAAAGTACCGTCAGAAAAAATCAAAGGGGAGGGGGACATTAAAGAAAAGCACTGTATGTTAATTGTAACCCTTTGCGGCAAGGTTTAACTTTTTACCATGGATTCGAACATAGTCAATATGCAATTAAACGAGATCTGTCAATTAATAAATCTATCATTTATAAATATATACTCAAATATCCGCTTCATGAGCAGAAGTTAATCATCAATCGTTAAAAGGCTAAAAATCTTACCTATGTCATCTGATTCTTACATACTTCATTTTGACGCCCATGGCGACCGTGACTTTTACTTTTTTTAATGTGTTAGCAAGGATACTTTTTTGCTTCAATGCTGTCGATAAAAAATAATGCGTACATATAGAGGAGTGGCAATGTAGTATATGTAATTTCAGTGATAGGGCCAATTATGTTTAATAATGAGAATAAAATATATGTTCGTGCATCTAAGAACACGATACCGGTGACTGGAAGATGTATATTTTAAGACATCGGTATATGATGCAATACCCAGTTTCTATACCCGTATAGAATACAACTGACAACGTTGCAGGTAGCTGCAATTACTGAAAGATCAGCAAGATGATTTAAAAATGATAAATGATGATGATTTTGACTTTTAAAATTATCTAACAAGCTTGGGCGACTACAGGAAAAGTTTTGCTGCAGATCAGAAGTAATGCGAAAATCAATGAACATACCAGTATAAAGGAAAGCTATGCTATTAAACGTAGTCCCCATAGGAAAAGCTATGTTCTCATTATCTTCATTTTCTACCCGTGCTACAAATTTCTTCACTGTGAGATTATAGCAGATTTCGCGGTGCATATACCGATCTCCAAATTTCACTAGGATCAGCAAGGCAGCTACTGAGATTACCCAGTGGGAAGGATGACGCCCCTAACGGTCTTTTCTCTGTTCAGTGCATCCACAGAAAGTGGGTAGACATGGTGAATGTCGATCATCAATATGTACTAGATATGGTGTTGAAGATAAAAGCGAGCCCTGGGGAACACATTGTATCTGCAAAGTTTCTCTGAAAGGCCATGTGGCGGAAGCTTACGTAATAAAGCAGTATGCCGCAGCCAATCGAATGCCTTTGTATATCAATACCAATATGCGCCTGACCATATGTCTGAATAAGTTGTATGTCGTAAGGTAGAAGTTTAAAGATTGGTCGCCAGTACTGGACATATATTTTGCTTAGTGCTAGTCTAGCCGTGATGCTCCAGATATGCTGTTCTTATTAAGGTCCGTTTTAAGTTCGAATATTTCCTAATTCGATACATACAACACGCGAGACCAATATTTCCTCGGGCTGAAAATATATTACTTACGAAGACAAGCTCCATAAGGGAACGACATAAATTTTCCTGGAGCAGAACCATATTTACAATTTGAAAATAATACCATAAATTTGGAAATCGAACCGAATAAGTTGCAATTTCCCCGAAGACAAAACGTCGGAAAAGAAGGAAATAGAGATGCTTATATAGGTAGAAATGCGAGGCTGCTGCGTTCTTTTATTACAGAGTTCTCCGTGTACGAGGACAGTTACAATCCTTTTTGTATTTACTTCCGGAGAAGAAAAGTTACCGCGATACATTGCGGCCCGTTTTATACGTCTTCCTTTTCGCATAAGATACTCCAAGGATCGATTTTCCATAAAACTGTAACGGAATGTGTGACATAAATACCTTTTACGTCCTACGCCACTGTTAGGGAGCTATTCTAATCGCAAAAAGTTTCAAAAATCAGGTAAACGCGTACATCACGAAGAACCATGAAATTCATTCCGGTCGGTATGTTCACCCGTCTTTAACTTGGACACACAGGATTAGTACTATGCCAAGGATGAAAAACGGTTGAGCGGCGGCAGAGCTAAATGCTAAAAAAGCAAAAAATAAGAAACGCCCAAACTTTTTCCTTTGCCGTTTCAGACACTCGTATGACATCTAGGCATGAACCGTTCCTTTCAACGTCTAAAAACAAAGTAATGGACGTTTTTAATTCTATGTCTCCATTTGGCTCTTAGGGCCGCCGCCATTGAACAGTTTTTCAAAAACTATAGCTATTTCGTCCTTGGCATAGAAATAACCCTGTTCAACAATTTCGTCAAAATATGAGCAGTACTTTCCAACTAACCGCCGGCGTGGCGCTACCGTAGCGCTACCGCTGGCTATTAAAATCAACTCATAAGATTGCTAACGTTACGGCGCGTGACGCATAACGTAACCCAAAATTACATGCTTTTTCAAGACCATATCTAATAATTTATACTTTTATTTGGATAAATTTTAGCAAAAAAACTCACGTCAAGCAAAACAAAACATATGTTATGTCAAACAGAGCGGAATGCACGGAAAGACCAGCTAATCTCTTGCAACAAACACGTGATTTCCTTTTCATTGGTTGAAGCGGGAACGGAAATGGCAGGCAGTTAAAACTTGGTCAAGTCTAGCGTCAGCGTTGCAGACGAACGTTTGCGGAATTCTTGTTTATAAATATTTTAACGTCATGATTCAAGTTCTACCTTACAGCAACCGCTACGTCAGATATGCGGAACGACTGAGTTTATACTATAAATCGACCTGTAGCGGACGGACGGCTATATAGTGTACGCGTAGGAACAGGTCTACCGCCTTCTCCAAACTATTGGTCAGAGATCTGAAACGTAGTAGCAAAACCAGTTGGACTTCATGTTCTTCTACCTTCTTATATCCACACACGACACACACACAACCGGCATTGCAGTACAATTAACATGGTGGTCAATTTCGCGATAGGACAAACCAACATCTCGATAGGCAATAATTCTACCCCTGTCAAAGTCACTAACATCGTCATAATTTAGACGTCTTCGACCTCGAGGCATTTTGTTATGCTTAAGACTAGTACATGAAAGGGCAATAAATAACTAAAAGTATCTGTACTACTAAGCCCTCAGAAAATGCTTTCTTTACAAAAACTAAGAGACAAAACTTCAACAAAGGTAAACAAAAACGAAGATAAAACGTTGACACTATTGCCACAGCATGCTTTAAATATATTTCATTAAACTGCCAAAAAAATTAGTTGAAAAAATTATGTTTTATGCGTGTGTTTTATTGTCTCAAGATTTTACCTACATGTCTTATCGTGCGCAGTTTTTTATTAGGAAATGTATGAAATATCCCATTTTGAGGGTGGAATCTGGGTACATTGCCAGATGTTTAACACTATGCCATGATGCTACTTGCAATTGTTTAGTTTGGTTGTCTTAAGCTGAATATTTGGGCATATGTCGTTCACAGGATCAAAATGGGATGTAACAAGTTTTGTTGTAGTTTACTCTTAAAAGTCTGACATATAGCACAACATTTTGCAGATAGCTTGCTAGCTAGCTTGGCTCTTCGTAACTCTTCATATTTCAAGAACCTTCAATTGCCTGAGTTGTACCACTCCCCCAGGCCCCCAGACAAGCCTTGAAGATGGGTAATGGGCTTTCTTTTTATCGTCTTTGATACGTTTCACTCCTGAATAACAATCTAACGTTATTTCAGTTACAACTTTGACTACTTTGGTCAATTCTACATAATATGTGTCAACAAAAACTTGATACTGGACCCTATAATCTTTACCCAAAGCCCTTTTCCAGATTTATAGCAAGAGAAATAGCTTAAAGCATCTGGCAGAAGTGATGGCCGACGGAATTGTGCTAAATATTACTTTTTAATAATGTTTTACAGAGTATATATAAAACTCAGCCACCACAACTTGTGTTAGTCTCAGTTTCTTTCTCTCCTGGTGTCAGTAAATCAAGCCTCTACACAACGCAGCACGTACTAAAAGTACATATGTCCTAGTTTTTATCTTTCAGGAAATACGTAATATCTGAGATGCTTTATGTTTTATTAATTTATGTGTTTGAAGATGATGTACGTACATTTACTTGTTGTTGGACTCATGCAGTCGCACCGTATCTTTCTTATGCACCGTTCTCTGATGTTAAATAAATTGTCAGAAATCCTGAAATGCAAAATGTAATCAAGTTAACTGTAGTAATACATCAGTAGTCACCAAAATTCTATATATACCTTGATGGAGGAGACCATTATTGTCCTCGCACTTTATGTCCATAGTTCTCCTCCAAGGTACGTAACGTACTATGTTATCATCTAGCACCGCGGTTTTGTTAACGGCAACCCAACACATCCGCATTTTCTTCATTTACGGTCACAAGCATATTTGACGTCGACGGGTGGTCGGTTGTCTGACACTTGACTACTAATGAAGCCAAGTAGGTTTATTGATCTATGCTACTTTCTCGCGTTCTATAACACAGACTTTTGAGGCTATGGATCCTTTCTACTGGATCAGCCCACCAACTCAATCCCTCCATTCTTCCTCCTCCAATCCCTCGTCAAGCTTGGGGATAATTCCTCGCTATTTGATGCTCTAGACAATCTGATCGATCCCAGGTCATAATTTGATATCTAAGTGCAAGGTGTGGACCTTGGAAAAACTTCGTCACTGCACCAGCAAGCTAGTGTCTTGGTGAAATTGGTTAGTTGTCACCAGGCCGGTAAGATCTTTATTGTCACTTGCCACAATTGGACAAGGTCTTGGACAAGGCCAACGTATTCTCTGAACTGATTTGATCTTTACCGTCTTGAATTTAGTAGCCAGATACCAGGTATTACCTAGCCCGTTAGACCTTTATTATATCTTAATTTAAGTAGACGAGCCTTTATTGTCTTGAGCTAGCAGCCTAAAACCGTTTCCTTAAAGCCTTCTTATTATAATTAGCTCATTTTAATTAGAAAATTGCTGAACAATAGACGAATTGTTCATCCCCCATGCTTGCATTGCCAATAAAACCACATAAATTGACAGAATCTTCTTCACTGTAAATATCACAAAGGTGATCTCTCCAGTATCAATGAAAATGTATACAGGGTGGCCCAACCATGTGTGGACAGAATATTACTCATAAACAAATACATTTTGGGAATATCTGTTAATGGGATATTATACATGTCATTTGAGGGCACATTTATAAAATATTGGTCATTATACATTTCCAATTTCCCAATTTAAGTAGTGATTTTTCAAATGGGATACCTCAAATTTTATTGCATATTTGGATAAACCAATTCAAAAGAAGGAAATTGATATAACATGTTATGGGGTTTTCGTAATCAGCTACTGAGATATAAGGTGTTTTGTCTAGAAAAATCTCCCACATCGTCAACTCCGCAGTACGCCATTTTGAAACTTGGAGTGCTAAATTTAATATCAAAAAAAACTTATACACCTCAGAATTTATCTTATTTGTTACTTTTTCGAATTTCAATTTTTGATCATACAGGGTGGTCAACAACGCGAATTGTAGTTTTTCTCAAAAATTTCAAATGCATCACCCTGTATATTTGTGCAAGTTTGGATTCAACTTTTTATAAGCTTTTTTTTTGTACCAGACACATAAGGGTTTTTACCGTTTTTTTTTTCGGTTATTATCACGTCTTTTATGGAACGGCCTAAATCCCTAAAATATCGCATCATCATCCATGTAAACAAATAAATTGTTGATTAGTTACAAACTGCAAAAACTAGCTTTGTGAACATTACAATAAAAACATGTTTGAAAATGAATTTTTCTAAAGAAGAAATGGTGAATATGGTGCGAAGCCCAAAGAAATAGTTTCCTAGCATCTCGCATTTATAAGCAACGATACCCTAATATGCGACATTAAGGCCGGAAACATTTTTCACACTACGAGAACGTTTTGAATCAAGTAGAGCTGTGGAATATAGTAAAAAATGTATAAAAAATCAAAGTGTCACCAATGAGGAGAATCAGTTGGAGCTTCTATTAAAGTTGCAGGAAAATCCCCATTTAAGTGCACGGCAAATTGGAGCAGAAACTGATATATATATATATATACTTGTATATATATATATCATCCATATCACCTATGCTTGCATCAGGCCTTCGTCCTCAGGATTTCGCAGCTCTAATGGAACTTAGTCGAATAACGCTAAATAAAGTGAGGGAAGACTTTCCTGGATAAGGTTCTTTTTAGGGATAAGGCAACTTTTAACAGCATAGTTGTTGTCAACAAGCATAACATGCACTATTGACGGAAAACCCTTACTGGGTTAGGCAAACAGATTTTCAAAATAAATGTAGCTTGAATGTTTCAGGACGAGTTATTGGCGAACAAGTTATCGGACCTTCCTTTCTCGACAACAGATTAACAGGTACAGAATACTTGAATTTTTTGATCGAGCATTTGTCTTTGCATGAATGTCAACCTGGAAACTCAGATGCATATGTACTTCCAACATGACTGCGCACCTGCGCATTATCATAATCGTGTGCGTAACTATTTGGTCACCTGGAGTAACAATCGTTGGATTGGTCGTGATGGACCTATTTCAAGGCCTCCTAGATCACCAGATTTGACACCGATGGACTTCTTTCTATGGGACTACGTTAAGCAAGAGTTTTATAGATATCCACCATCTACCCCGGAAAATATGAAGGATGTTTTTCTGAACATAAGGGAACACATGCTGAGGGAGGTGCAACGGTCATTTATCCCAAAACTACGGCTGTGTATTCAACATGCTGGAGGTATTTTCGAGCAGCTCTTGTCGATTAGGTCTTGAGTAGCGATAGTTGTTTGTTTATGTTGTTGTTATAGTTATAAGTGTTTACGTCAAATGTGTACTCTTAGTGGCAATATGGATCTAGTCCACTGTTTGTCTTTCGTTTCCATGGATGATGTGATTTTTTTCCTTAATTTTGGTGTGTTGTTCTATTAAAAGCTTAAAAACTCAAAATCTAGCGATTTTATCTGAACAAAACCTCATACCAAAAAAAAGCTTATAAGAAATTCAATCCAAACTTGTACAAATAGACAGGGCATTTGAAATTTTTGAAAAAAGTACAATTTGCGTTTTTGACCACCCTGTATTAACAAAAATGAAAATAAGAAAAAGTAACAAATACGATAAAAGCTGAGGTGTGTAAGTTTTTTTTTGATGAAAAATTCAGCATTCCAAATTTCCAAATGGCGGATTGAGGGGTTGCCGAAGTGGACGTCTGCTAGCTAATTACCAAAACCCCATAGTATGCTATATCAATTTTCTTCTGTTGAATTGGTTTATCCAAATATGCAATTAAATTTGAGGCATTCCATTTAAAAAATCACAACTTTGATATGTTGGTCAAAATTGGGACACCCTGTATAATTGCCCTCAGATGCGATATATAAGATGCCATAAATGGATTTTATGGTTCGTATATTTTTTCTTTTCACTGTGACACTCCTGTACAGCGTGTTACTACAATAGGCTGAGAGTCTTTCGGATTTTAAGATCGCATCACGCAAAACCAGTACTAGCCCAGGGCCGCCGTTTTTAAATAACGCCGTCCAGCCCTCCAGAACGACAAGCGAGTACGAGGCTATCTGTAGTTTTAATGTAGCAGATACGGCACCCACGTTCATTGTCCCCAAAAACGTCAAATGCCCTCTAAAAATCGCAAAAACTTGACAAGAACTGTTTTACCGGCCATACAAGCATGCTGGACCATCGACATGTGAACCTCAGAATAAGCTTTAGGTGTTTCATTAACGGATCCCTTGGTTTAGTTTCCGTCAAAAAATATACCCACAAAGAAAAACATCGTTCCCGCGAACAAAAGATCGTTTGCAAAACAAGCAAAAGGTCAAGCGTATCTACAAAGAACGTATTTTGGTCAAGCACCGTACCGAGTATCCCGTACTAATACGGAAACTCTGGAGATCGAGCATAAGATGCATTTCCAATGCGCGGTAGCGATGTCGAAGCGTCTGCAAGTCAGAGATCATTTGCATTGATTCAAGGTGAAAAATCAGGTGATCGTGTATACGTACTGTTCTGATATGCACACAGACTTCGGTTAAATATTTAAGGCATACGGTTGTTTATGTTATGGTGTGAAGCAGAAACTGTGTCGATAAGATTGCAGTTGCAGCATGACTCGTCAAAATTGCCAGTCCCGCGAGGACGCCTGTTTATAAACATAAGAAGCAAATCATTCAGATTGCATCATTTTTAGGCAACCTCACTCAGATAGAGTTGTGAGATGATACCAGTTTTACAGCTAAAATACATTTTGGCATAGAGATTTGCTTATGACGGGTTACCACAATAGCTGTAAACTTGTTAAAACTGTTGAACATCGTATATTACAAAGGCTATCGATCAGCAGAAGAATTCTGCTCTATCATCTTTGAAGGGTCTTCACGCTTCAGGAGCAAAATAGTGTTATTTCTACTGCAACGTCAACTACTTCCGCATGGGTATTATACAAAAAATCTGTAAACGTCAAAATCTTGCAGACTAGGTAGTCTTTAGGGTGCAGTCATTCCACGTTTGCTCACCAAGATCGGTGTGAGCGTCCATCTATGGAGGAATGACTCGACTACACGCATTGTTGGTTGAAGAAGAGTAGATGTGAAACAAAGAGAGTTGGTTGAATAGCAAGATCGCATCTGGATGATTATGTGTATAAAATCAGGGTTATTTGCTGTGTAAGAAAATATTTACTAAATATGCTGCACATGAAGTATATCTATTAGCTGTACCCGACGGATTATGTACAGAGATATACTAAGTGACATATAAATCCGAACACCCAGTTTAAATGGTTTTATTTTAATAAAAGTTGGTGAATGTATTTATCTTACTGTAAATAACAAGTGGAAAAATTTTCAGCCTTATCAGTTGGACATTCCGGTTTTTATACTGCTTTTTTTTAATTCACTAACGCTCTAAAAATGAATATTTCAGCCGCAGTAAAGAACCAACGTTGGCGGATTTTGGTTCTTGACATCCTTTACGATGCGTAGAGTACGAGATCTGTACGATTTCGTCAACTTAGCGAGTTTGATAGGGGCCGTATAGTGGGACTTCGGGAAGCTGGACTTTCTTTTCGGGCAATTGCAGTTAGAGTGCAAAGAAGTGTAGACACTGTGGTTAGGTGTTGTCAGGCATGGCTTCGAGAAGGCAAAGAGCAAAGGGCACTGGGCGCCGCCGTAGAACAACAGACCGTGAAGATCGCCGCCTAAGATTATTGGCCTTAAGGGACCGTTTCTCCACTACCAGGTCCATGGCAAATGAATGGTTTGCAGAACACGGAAGACCTATTGGCACGCGAAGTGTTTACCGACGAATGAGAAGTTTTGGCATGTTTTCACACCGGCCACACTGGGTCCTCCCTTTAACTCGAGAACACCGACGTAATCGCCTTAAGTGGTGCAGACAACGGTTACTCTGGGATCAGGAATGGAACAGTATTGTCTTTAGTGACGAGTCTCGATTTTGTTTAGGCATGCACGATGGTCGTGCCAGGGTTAGAAGGCAACGTGGTGAAAGGAGGAATCCACAGTTGTTTGTCGAAAGACATGTTCATCACACTGTTGGAGTTATGGTTTGGGGTGCTATAGCTTATGGTTCCAGGTCACCTTTAATCTTCATCAGAGGTAACATGAACGCGCAGCGTTATATCCACGAAGTTCTAGAACCCCACATCTTTTACCCTATCTTGACACCCTGGCAGATCCAACTTTCCAACAAGATAATGCCCGACCACATGTTGCAAGAGTCACAATAGACTTCTTTCAACATAATGATGTCACATTGTTACCATGGCCACCAAGATCTCCCGACTTATCCCCAATTGAGCACATGTGGGATATGATGGGTAGGAGATTGCTCAATTTGCAACGTCCTCCTTAGACTCCAGAAGCACTTCGAGAGGAGTTGGTGGTTGCCTGGAATGAGATACCACATGAGGACATTGACCACCTGGTCAGAAGCATGCCTAGGCGCGTTGGAGAATGCGTAGCACATCAGGGTGCATCCACACATTATTAAAGGTCAAAGGGCTTTAAAGCAGTGCAATAATTTTGAAATTTTTATCATTTACTTATTATGCTTCATTAAGTACTTATACAAAATTTTATTAAAATAAAACCATTTAAACTGGATGTTCGGATTTATATATCACTTAGTATATATCATTCAACGTGTCTATTATCTATTCCTGCCATTTTTAGTATAAACCATGGCTTGGTCAGGACCGCACCACGTCTTCGTCGTTAAAGAGTTTATTCCAAATGAAGGTTAATGGCTAGGATAATGGCTCAGCGTGCCTTTCGCATTCGCTTCCAGCTCAGGCGACATGATCTGGTTCCCGACAGAAGGACAATTGTTA